AGGACGGAGATGGAGGAGGGCCGCCAGGCGTAGGAGGCTCTGGGCACGACAGTGGCTTTACGTCGACAGAAGGTTGCAGTGTGGTCCATATTATCAGCTCATACCTAAGCTGCACTTTGATGACCCTGTCAGCTACATGAATGTCCTACGTGTGCCACCCGACATGTTCGATGAGCCTCTCGACATATTGGGTTCACTAATCACCAAACAAGACACTCCGTATCGAAAAGCCCTCGGACTAGGTTTGCAGCTGGCTATAACAATGCGCCACCTGGCCTCCGGTGATAGATACGCCAGCTTGAAGTTCGACTTTGGAGTACCTCACAATACAATGTAATTGTGTGTTCGTGAAGTATGCCAGGCTTTCGTCGATGAGTACAAGGACCAGTGCATCCAGTGTCCAACGACCATAGCAGAATGTGCCCCACATATGCGACGCGTTTAATTGGAAACATACAGCCTGCAGACGTCCTCGGAACAGTGGGAGCCTGCACTTCAACTACAATGGTTTCTTGTCCATCGTTTTAATGGGGCTGGTGGATGCTGACTACAAGTGTCTGTGGATCGCTTTTGGCAGCTATAGGCTCATGTCCGATGCTCAGTTTCTTATCGCGTCCGAGCTAAAGGAGTGTCTGGAGGATGACAGAGCCGGCTTTTCTGCGGCCGACCCACTACCGAATAATGACACACCAACGCCGTACTTCATCCTGGATGAGGGGTAGTCACATCGTTAAGAATGCCTTCGGCTTTCTTGCTCAGCGCTGGCAGGTCCTCCTCACTACAATGTAACACGACCCTGATTCAATCGCTATCATCGTTGAGACCTGCGTCAGTCTTCACAATTTAATGCTTATTCGAGACCCTGTACTCCAGTTTGTTGACATGGACGCAGAAAATGCCAACCACCAAATCATCCCTGGTTCATGGCGGGCCATGGCAAACATACATGATGTGTACATCATTAGGGGTCCCAATCAAGACAGCATTGCGGCAACGAAACAGCAGGAGTACCTCAAGTTGTACTTCAACTCCGCAGCTGGTTCGGTGCCCTGGCAGGACCGCATTATCTGAGTGCTACTGTGACATGACATGAACAATTGGCAAACAAATGCTTTGGATTCGCATGGAGCGTCTGTATATGTTGAACTTGAGTCATGATGTCAGGTCGTCCTCCTGTGTGACGTAGACAAGTTCGATGGACTGCTTGCCCGGGAGGTCGAATGTGACTCCTCCCCTGCTTGATGAGGCGATGGCGGTGGACCGGGGTCATTATATGTCATTGTCTTCTTCCTTCTACCCCTCTTGCCGGTCATGATGTGTTTATGTGGAATAGCAAAATAGCAACTGATCATGGTGTTTTTATACACTTTGCGCACGCCATAGGAACGAACATGAGTGATTTATATCAGTTGAAATAACTTATTTCATAATTTTGTAAGATGAATAAAGTTTGAATATAGACAGAGCAATATCAAACTTCGAGACCATTTCTGTTTTCTTCATGCAGGAGTGATACTGATATATATTTAACATACACAGCGTCCTTATTTTTGTAGATATCCTTATCTGTTTGGACTACCTGGTCTCTGGTCTCCATGGCGTCAATGAGTCTGCACTGTCCACTTCTAGTTTCCTTAAAAACTAAATGAAATGTCGTCCAAGAAAGTCCAGACTTTTCTATCCCGGTGATGACCTCTCAACACCAGTCAGATTTGGAGGTTGGCAAAGCGACATAAACGATATAGATCCGTTTATACAGGGTTAACACTTAGTTATATACTTTGTTATCGTTGTTAGTAAGTGAGATTCTCGAAATAAGAACTATTTCTTAGCGCTATCTATTTATTTATTTAACTACATTACCTTGTACTAAAGCACAGAAAACAGAACGTCAGATTCAATATAACGTTAAGCTGTCAAGCTCGTTCTATTTAGTTGCAGGGAACATTCTTTTTGTATTGAGTAGGCATAATGCTTTTATCAGAAAATTCCAATGCACATTATATTGAACTGTTGGTTTTTTAAAAGATATGTTAAAAGGTGTGCATCATACCTCCATTTACAGACTACATTAATGAAGTGCAAAAGTGATATCTATTTCGGCTAGGTTGTCTCCCAACACGCTTTAAGCTAATGTATAATTACCGGTCGCTTTTCAAAAATTATACGTCATGTAGTACAGTGTTACAATAAAATATTTACATTTCTACTGAACTTGGACTCAATATACCTACTAAACATTTCAAAGGCAATGAATCCAGTCGGCGTATGAATACATCAGCATATTATCAATATGGATTACCTCCCCTTGCTTGTGGTACAACTTTTTCAAGTCTCATCACAGTGTGAATTTCTTTGATATTTTTTTTTCATAAAAAAGAGATTATACAACACAATTAAATAATACTTTGAAAAATTAAGAAATACTTTGTACCTCAATTAAAATATTAACAACATGAAAATCAAATCTCGTTCGAGTGCTTTTTTCACTGTTATCGTCTGCTTTATCAATATGTCAAGTGTTGGTAATTTTGAAGTGGTCAATTCAGAGGCAGTTATGGAAATACCGAACTTATCACCCAACATTACTCTGTCGGACTCTGACAATGAAGTTCTGATGAACATTTTGTTGCCAAATGTCACGTTAGAAGAAGCAAATGAGGAAGATTTGGGCTACTGGCACAAAGTGAAGTAACTGGACCTGGAGTTCCTTCAACTACAGAAAATAATGACTGTGAGAGCAGGCTCAAGAAAGTAACTGATGCAGATTTGAAAAAAATATGAAGAACTGACCCAATCAAAGTCCACCAAATTGAACACAAAATGGGGACTCAAAATCTTCAAGGTAAATGTTATAATGTATTGATTGTTGATTTACTTGCACAATGAAAGATACAAATACAATGCAGACATTTTAATAATTTACACCTGCAATTGTATCGACACTTTACATTGCACTAAAAACACATTTCAGCATCTGGATAATCTAGAAAATAAACATTAAACTGTGGTTTACCTATGTCTCATTAAAAAAACGTTGCCCGCATGGGTGTACATTTTCATATGTTCAAAATTTTACAAGATGGACCTTATATTTTCATAATGTAAGAGTCCTGGGAGTCGGGTTATAGGAATTTCTTATACACTTCTAAGTCCTTCTTCTTTTCTCTTCAGACTGGCATACAGAATGCTTTAAAACCAAACTAGGCATGACCGAAGTACCAAAAGAGAAATTGGCAGAGTAACTATGCAGATTTTACTGCAAGGCCAGACCCAAATCAGGAGAAACTACACCCACGCCACATGAATACCTTAAAAAGTGCATGAAAAACATCAGGGCAGTCATCAATCGGCACATTCAAGATATTGACAGAGAAATGGATAGTGTAAATGAGATTGAATTTAAACGGGCAAATACATTGTTGGACGTCTGCAGAAAGAGAGATTGTCATCTGGGCTGTCAAAACCAACACATCACACGGAAATTGTTGAAGAAGGAGATCTGGAGAAAAATTCTGAATATTTTAATGGCGCTGAAACCTCCTTATTTATTCTACGACAGTGTGTCTGGTACAACATTTCGGTCCATTTTGTCACACGCGGCTTTGAATGTCATTACCAACTGAAGGGCGACTCGTTTGAATACAAATTTGATGAGAATAGTTTAGATTGCGACTCTTACACACGAGTGTAAACAGAAAAACTTTCAGGGTGGGCTGTCAAATAATGAAGCTATCTGAGACAAACGGATGTATGCAACAGGGAAAAAACTGTCCAGTGAGCATGTTGAAAAAGTTTATTGAAAAGACTGATCCAAATGCGATTGCCCTCTACAATGGTTGTGTAAACTATGCTATCAACAACCCCATGCACCATACCATTTGGCCAAGGCCTTAAGCTAAACCAGCTTTAACAATTTCATGTCAAAATATGTGAAATGCAGTAAGTGATACACTGCCCACTGTCTGAGAGCGACAGCCATTCAGAAAATGAGTGACAAAGGCTTTGAATGTAGACAAATCATGATGTCCGGACATCGGAACGAAGCGAGCATCAGAAGTTACAGTAGGAACTGCACTAGCACACAGAAACGATATATTTGCAATACATTGTCATCACTAACCAGTACAGCCAACGGAAAAGGTTGGGCGAACACCATGACATATCAATATCTGTTCCTCCTAGGCCAATAATTCAAATGTAAACACTGTCAATCTTGCTGTCTCGCCTCGTGTGCACCAGAGCGGTGCGAACGTCGTCAAACATAATAATAACGGTAACATGGGCCTTACTGGTTATCCTTTGAACAAGATGCCTGTGTCTTCGTTCCAGACAATGGCTGGGTTCCTGTCTAATTCTACGTTCACCAACTGTTCCTTCCATTTCGAAGGTGGAAAGTAGTCTTAATAACCGCCATGTCGTTGTAAGCGCGTCCCAGTCCTTGACCTAATTACTCAGTTATTCCGCGGAGCGCGGGAAATAGTTCTATAAATAGATTGTTTTCAATTTCAGTGGGTTTTTGTCAGAAATTTGCAGTTGAATTGAAACAAAACTAATTTACATCGGAATTGTTTTTTTTCGTTGTATTCAATGCAAACAAGTCATTCATCTTACCAAAGCGGCGTCTCACATTAAATGATGACGTCATAAGCTTCGTGACTTTCCGTGGTGCTAGACTTGCACAAAACCGATATTTTAGAAATTATTAAAAAGAAATCAATATTACGCTGAATATAAATATAAGGATAAAATCCGGTTTTGTTGAGGTTTATGGGGTATAAACCTCCATGGGTCTTGAGACAAATTTTATGAACTGCGAAGGTTGCTGGCATGGGAAACATTCCTTAAATGAGATGAAATATTTATATCGTCGAAGCTTATAAACTATACTGTCTTGTAGAAGGGTACACTATATGTCGCCTAATGTTATGAACTTCTGTCGCAGCAGTCGGCCATAACTTTTTAGATACCGTACAACAGGCTCGACAAAAGATTGTGGTGAATTTCGGGAGAGTTATCTCCCTTGGACCGTGGACCGCGCCGACACGAGATCTCGTGAGCTACGTGATATCATCGCTGTGACGCGTTGGCGCGGTCTCTTATACTTCTAGATATCGAACCAGCAACACGTGAGTGAATTTCCTCCACCTTGTCTTTGATTTCAGGAGCTGAGAGCATTTACAACTACTTGTTGTGACGGTGTGTGAATAACACACACCGAATTCACGACAATTGGTGTCATAAGTGAGAAAGAACTCACGCTATTCGCGCTATTTTGACATTTTTTTCCATATTTTTTTTCTACCTTGCTGGTCCCCTCTCGCTCGCACGTGCGCTGGCCATTTTGTTGACCAGTGCGCGAATTACGAGTGAGAGATTTTGGGACAGTTCTAGCAGTTTATTATTGTTTATTTAATTATTTATTAGGGGTAATTCAGAGTCGGCGGTGTTTTCACTGCCGTTCTGAAATTTAAATTTAATTTAATTTAGTTTACTTGTTAGGTTTTCACGGAACTTCATTCGCCTGTATAGTGGGCCGCCCATATTGGCGGAATACATATGACAGGCGAGACTTGAGTTATCGTTAGTATAGGATATTATTTTTATATTGTAGGGAAATTATTATATGTTTAGTTAGGTTATTATTACATTAGGTTAGAAATTAGTTATTTTAGGAATTAGAAATTATTTTGTAAACTGTAAATCGTAGTTGTAATCGTTGGAATTTTGTACGGGACGGTGGCACGTGTCTACTATAGCACTGTTGATATAAGTCCCTGTACATAATTGTGTAATTGTTTAATTAAGTGTGTTGACTTATTTCTTTCTTGGAACTTTATATTTTGTCATGGCTGTCATAAATATACGGACAGCTACAGAAGATGAGCTGTGCACGTTGGAGGGTTTAGGCCCCGCGACGGCACAGAAAATCTTGAGTATAAGAGATGATGAGGGGCTCACTCTGCAGAAACTGGTGACTGTTTCCAGAGTGGGCATTGAGAAGTGGCAGAAATGGCTAAGTGATGGGGTCATCACGGGCATAATGGTCACTGCCCCTGTAGAGGCGCAATCACCAACCCGGTCGACCTCATCACGGGCAGATAGGCTAGACAGACAGGAGGACGAGGTTATGGACATAAAGCAGGAAGTTAAGGAACTGCGGGTCCAATTCAGGGAGTTAATGGTAACATTGGAGACGGAGGCTCTTAGAAAATCAGAGAGTCTGGCGGCTCGTGCTGCCTCGCCTCCGAAAAAGAGCTCTACTCCCGGCACTATGCTACTGACTACACCTAGTGGTGGTCAGTATGTCAGCCAGAGGCCACAAATAAATAGCTGGTCACCCTGGGGGGATAGGGGTACCACTCATGCTACATCAACCTCCGTGCCATCATACTCGAACTCGCAGACAATGATTCCTAAACAGAAGGAGTCAGAGTTTGGCCCTATTTTACAAGCTATCCCGAAGGATGGAAGGTATGTAAGGGGTCAAGATCAGGGTGCCCATGTATCAACATGGACAGCTGGAGGTGCCAATGCACCCATTGCACCCATTGCTTCTAAGTGGGGGTTTAAGCTAGAATCGGCCCCAAAAGTTGAAGGGGAAATGAGTCTGCCCTTGTCATGCCTATCATCAGACAATGAAAAGGGGGCTGACTTCCTGTTGGAAGATGTCAAGCCTAGTTTGACGCCTCGCAAGCAGGGAGGGGGGAATTATCCTGGGGGATATGACCCTTCACAGCCAGCTTTTCAACATAGGGGGGGTAACATACCCCCAGGTAATAGGCTGCCATACACCAATGGCGGGATAAGTAACTATCCCCTGTTGGGACACATAGACACTCAGTTAGGGCAAAATCAGGTTAAGATAGAACAACATACTATTCCTGCTCATGGTCTGCCTTCGGCCGTTGCCGGTGCTTACGCGAGGGTGCCCATAACCAGCACAAATTGTGGCGTAACCACATCGGCGCGTGCTACCCGCGAGGAGAATAGAAATAGACGGACCCGCGACAGGTTGGACAACGAACGTCCTGCAAGGCGCACGCATCGCGTCCTCGGTGAGCGACATGTGCGCCAACCACAAGGCACGCGCCGTGCGCCTACAAGGCGCAGACGTGATGATTCGTCAGAGAGCGACGAATCGGACCCCGATTTCTCCAGTGAGGGAGAGGGGGACAGCAATACAGATTCAGGGGACTCCTCCGACGACTACCAGAGGCATCGTCAAAGGAGTAGGAGTCCTCAGCGACATAAGATGCCCACTTACTCGGGTAAAGAGCGCTGGGAGCCATTCGCTCTTAAATTCACCAGGATAATAGAAGACAGTAGATGGTCGGACCGTAAGACCAAACAACGGTTTTTCGATTGTCTGGTGGGTGATGCGTTGGAGTACGCAGATAAGCTCCCACGAACTCTTGGGTTCGCAAAACTCAAGAAAAAGATGAAGGAACGGTTTAGCGACAAGGACGTTCCAGTAGTGGCCCGCAGGGAGCTAAACTTCACTAGACAAGAGGAGAGTGAGAGTTTGGCAGAATTTGCTCAGCGGATTCAAACCATTACGGGGGATGGCTTTGCTCACGCAGACACCACCACCAGGAACCAGATCGCTACGGAGGCATTCCTCAAAGGCTGTCGCGAGAAGATGGCAGCACAGAGAGCCATGGAGAAGAATCCCAAGACGGTTCACAAAGCTCTGAAATACATAAAGGCCTCCGTGGCCAATCAGCGTGCTTTGTTTGGTTCTCGCGCGCCTCACTACCCTAGTAGGCAGGTAGAGTTTGCGGAGGGCACTAAGTCGGGGGATGATAAAGTAGAGGAAGCCCCTGTACAGTTCTCAAAAGATGAGCTACAGGAGCTAAAGAAATACCTGGCCCGGCTTAGTGCGGGCGGCGTATCTGCCCGTCCGTCTTCTCCTCCACCTTGGGGTGACTACCGATCTCCGGAACGCGACCGAGGGTTCCCTCAAAACTATGGGGGAAACCGATCTCCGGATTATCGTGATAGGACACCGGTCCCTTATCCCTCATCAGATTATCGCGATAGGCCCCAGTACCCTCGTCCACCCCAGGACAACGGACGTAATAGGTACGACGGTAGACCCCGCGACAGGTCACCATACGCTGAACAAGGTCCTTCGCGGAACCGTAACTGGTCACCCAGATATCAGGGGGACTCACCTGGCACAGGGTCACAAGGCCGAGGTCAAAATCAACCAGGCAGGGGCCCATGGGAACCAGGGAGAGGCAACAACAGCCCCGCCAGTTGGGGTAACGACCGAGGACGGAATACCCAGGCGTACCGTCAAAGATCTCCATCTGCGTCCCCGGAACCATATAGAGGGAGCAACGGTCCCGCCAGTTGGGGTAACGACAAAGGACGGAATAACCAGGCAGAGAGATCAAGGTCTCCATCACCCACGCCTAGAAAGGAGGTCCAACCTTTGAGGGAGGTGAAGCTGGCGGTCTCAGATGGCAGTAGCATCACCATACCACTCACTTTGAATGGAACTTCTATTCAAGCTGTCGTGGATACAGCAGCAACTATGACACTGATTAAGCGGGAGCTGGTAGACAAGCTTGAGGGACCACTGGTGCTTGGAAAACGAGTGAGGCTCCGGGGTTTTACTGGCAATGTGGAGATAGTGTGGGAAATAAAAGACCTAAATATCGGAATAGGGAACACTGAGGTACCCTGGACCGTATGTGAGGCCCCCATCATGGACGACATGTTGCTGGGGGTGGATTTCCTGTCTCGGAACAACTGTGTCATCGACCTAGATGCGGGCGTCCTGTTCATTGGTAATCAGGCAATACCTATCACATCAAGGTTAGAGGAACAGAGGACATCTTCTGCTGTCAAGGTAGCACAAAATGTAACAATACCACCAAACACCATAGGACACTGTCAAGTGGACTGGGCTAAACCCAACGGGAGCACGTCCATGATCCAACCGACACAACGTCCCGGGGGAGCTATAATAGCCAATGCATTGGTACCCCCGGGAGCACAACATTCCATTATGAGAGTAGTGAATGACTCCGCCAAGTCAGTAAAAATGAAGAAAGGGCAGAGCATAGGAGTAAAGGAGTCCGTGGAGGTCGTACCTGCACTCCCTGAGGAAGGCCCGAGGTGTGGCCAAGATGTGCCCCTCAGGGATAATGCTCAAAAAGTACCTGACTTCCTGGCAGAGCTGGTAAACAGATCAAGTAAGGAGCTCGACCCAGAACAGCGTCAACAGCTGGAGGAATTGCTAATAGAGTATCAGGATGCATTTGCTCAACATGATCTGGATATAGGCTGCTTGATGGACATTACCCACAAGATAGACACTGGCATGGAGGTGCCCGTCCGTCATAAAATGAGGCGGACACCTGCCCATTTCCAAGATCAGGAGAGGGAACACCTTGATAAGATGCTGGCTGCCGGCGTTATACAACCCTCTTGCTCGGAATGGTCCTCAGCTCCGGTGCTGGTGAGGAAAAAAGACGGGAGTCTTAGATGGTGTATAGACTATCGGGCCCTAAACGATAAGACGGTGAAGGATCGTTTCCCTTTACCGAATATTGACGACTGCCTAGACGCGCTCCAGGGAACTAAGTACTTCTCAACCCTGGATATGGCTTCAGGCTATTACCAAATAGTGCTGGATGAGGCGGATCGCAGGAAAACAGCATTTATTACTCGGTACGGGTTATTTGAACATACCCGAATGGGTTTTGGTCTCTGTAACGCTCCAGCTACCTTCCAAAGGGCGATGAACCTCGTCCTACGGGGACTAACATGGTCGGAGGTGTTAGTATACTTAGATGATATAGTAATACTCGGGAAGTCCTTCGAGGATACCTTGGCCAAGCTGAAGCGAGTTTTTGACAGATTCCGAATGTACGGGTTGAAGCTCAAACCAAAGAAGTGCGAGCTATTCCGAAAGGAGGCGGTTTTCCTGGGACGACTGGTGAACGAGTCCGGAATATCGATGGACCCAAAGAAGGTCGAGGCCATCAAGACCTGGCCAATACCGGCGGATAAAACTAAGCTCATGTCTTTTTTGGGCTTCGCAAATTACCACCGCAACCATATCCAGAACTATGCTGGAATGACACAACCAATGTATGAATTGACCAAGGTGACCGCTGACTTCCAGTGGGAGGAAAGGCACCAGAACGCCTTTGAGAATGTCAAGGCGGCACTAGCAAGCGCACCTTGCTTGTCTTATCCGGACGGAGATGGGGAGTTTATACTTGATACAGACGCCTCCGAGTCCTCCATCGGAGCAGAACTTTCTCAGATACAGGATGGACAGATCAGGGTCATTGCGTACGCCAGCCATGTTCTCCTTCCTGCTCAAAGGAAGTACTGTACTACACGCAAGGAACTCTTAGCGGTGGTGAAGTTTTGTCGGCATTTTCGTCATTATCTGCTAGGTAGGAGGTTCTATCTACGCACCGATCACAATAGTTTGGTGTGGTTGACCCGATTCAAACATATTGAGGGTCAACTCGCGCGATGGCTAGAGGAGTTAGCTCAATTTGATATGCACATTCTACATCGACCTGGCAAGGACCACGGGAATGCAGACGGGCTATCTCGAATTCCGGCCCATGAGGAACTCTGTAACTGTTACCAAGCAGGCACGCAGGTTGAAAGTCTTCCTTGTGGGGGATGCTCATACTGCAGACGTGCCCACCAACAGTGGCAGAGATTTGGAGAAGATGTAGATGATGTGATTCCACTAGCCTACCGAGCCATTGCCCCATTGAGTCCTCCCCAGGAGTACTCTCCCATTACCTTAGGATTGGCAGTCCAACCCGTAATTGCCTCACGGTTGCTGAACAGTGACGAGGGGGGGTTAAATGGCCTCTCCGGGGACAACCTGACAGACAATGAGAGCGAACCGGAGTTATCTGCTCCGCCAAATAAGCCAGAGTCGGATGAAGAGGTACCTGGCTGCACCGGCGTTCCAGACGACAATTGGTCGAATGAGGGAGATGGGGCGGATGTTACACCAGACCGTAGTGACTCCTCCTCTGAGGCGGAGAGCGAGGCTGAAGTAAGTAAGGCCTCTGGAAACGGGGATGGAACACCTCCAACAGGAACTGAGAAATCCGGGAAACATCGGGGAAAACTCGTTAACTGGATGGAAGGACTGAGTGGAGAAGGTTTAAGGACGGCACAGCTCCGCGACCCTGACATAGGGCCAGTGATGTTATGGATAGAGAATAACAGCTGTCCGACGGAGGCGGAGCTATTTGGACATGGTCGCGCCGTCAAGGCCTTGTGGTTAATAAGGAATTCGTTAGTTTTACAAAAGGGGGTATTGTATAGACTTTTACAGCCTACTGTGCGCCACAAGCGGCCCCGGGTGGTTCTCCCCGCCAGTCTGCGTGACACGGCATTGAGCTGTGCACATGATAGCGACATAGGAGGTCACCTGGGGGAGAGGAAGACGTTCCTCCGGTTGAGGCAGCATGTCTGGTGGTACACTATGACGCTGGATGCCAAACTTCACGTGCAGTCCTGTACTTCCTGCGCTCGGAACAAGAAGCAAAGAAAAGCTAAGTCCGGGCTTAAGTCCTTCCATGCCGGATTCCCTATGGAGAGGGTACACATTGACATTTTGGGACCATTCTCCCCTAGCAAAATGGGCAACAGGTATATCCTGATGATGGTGGATCAGTTCACCAAATGGGTGGAGATGGAAGCTCTCCCGACCCAGTGTGCAGAGGCTGTCGCATACAGTGTGGTTAAGAACATCCTGTCCACTTTTGGGTGCCCCTTACAGATCCATACAGATCAGGGGCCGAATTTCGTAAGCGAATTGTTCACCAGCTTGTGTCGACTACTGGAGATCGCCAAGACTCGTACAACGCCTTATCACCCCTCCTCAAACGGACAAGTGGAACGGTTAAACAGTACGGTGCTACAAATGATACGCTGCTGCATTAAGGGTAAAGATGATACCTGGGATTACTACCTCCCTCTAATCAAGATGGCCTTGCATGCGACAGAACACAGGAGCACCGGATTTACTCCCAACATGATGATGTTGGGAAGGGAAACGTTACAGCCACTAGATCTCCTATTGGGTCTCCCAACTCCCGCAGATAGGGAGCCTCATGAGTGGGTTAGGCATTTAGTTGATTCGCTGGCAGAGGTTCATACTGTTGCCCGGCAACAGGTGGGAAAGGTCCAGCGGAGACAAAAACGGGACTATGACCTTAGGTTGGCGGAAACCATATTCGAAGTAGGGGACGTCGTATACAAAAGGGACACGTCCACGAAGGTAGGAAAAAGCTCAAAGCTGAAGCCCCCCTGGATAGGACCATACCTGATAGCTGGGGTAAAGCACCCAGTTTACAATTTGAGGAATCACAAGGGGTCAAAGCACTGCCATCATGATCGGTTAAAAGCTTACAATGGGCGGTTTCTGCCCTTGTGGTTGCGTCGCATGAAACATTCTCTCTCATTGCCCGTACAGGTGCCGGTCGTAAGTGCGAAGAATCGTGAGACGCGCACGCAGGGACCCGAACCCCCGACGGGGGCAGGTTCTCCCGAACCCTTGATGGGAACGCATGACGAGGGTAGGAAAGGACAGGTCTCTGAGCATGGGCACCCAATCGTTGATGAGCGGCTAGGTAAAGCTAGTGTCATTCCGAGTGACACTACCAATTGTCGTGGTAGTACCGTTGGGGTACGTACCCGCACGGGAAGGCAGACAAGGGCACCCCAGAAACTCGACAACCATGTTCTTCACTAAAACCAGTGCAGAGCATAGTTGGTGGTATGGTATATAAAAAAAGACTATACCTAAGGGGTATAAAAAAGCGCTCTAGGGATAGTAGCAAGGATAGTAAAAATCCCTCCGTATTTCCTGGGACTTGTTAAATGAAGTCACAGGGTGCAGGTGAGGGAGACAGCTTTAATGGAGAGCGAGTCTTAAAAAAAGGGTATTTCTATTTCATCATAGTAGAGGAAGGTTTTCTTTCCTTTACAGAATGGACAACATTCTCAGAGTTGATTATTCCTCGAGTGAGGAATTCCTAAGCGCAGAGGAGGAGGCGGCACCTCCAGAGGTGGAGTTAGCTCCTCCGGAGGTGGAGGAAGGGACAGAGGGCCCTAAGGGGGAGGGGAACTGGTCAGAGTTCCCCTTCTACGGAGAATCTGACACCATCCAAGGGATGGGAGAGGAGGCCAGTGAGCCTGAGGGGGAGGTCCTCGGTGAGGGGACTCAGGATCCCGAGGAGGAGCTGGCCTCCAGTGAGGAGGACGGGGGGTGGAGCTTCAAGCCTGTGATCAGGATGGGCCCACCCCAGTTCATCCTGGACATGCCCGTGGTCTCCGGGGATGACCCTGTGATTCCTGCTCCCAGGATCACTAGGACGGCTCCGCTCGAGACTGATCCGGAGTCGGTCCGACCGTTCCTGGGGTGGGGGGCCTTCAGGGCACCCCAGAGACCAGTGGAGGAGGTGGTTGAGGCCACCCCGCCGGTGCCTTTCCAGGGGGCCCCTTTTCCTCCCAACTCGGAGGAGAAGGAGGCACCGGGAAAGGACCGGAAGCCCAGGAGGAGGAGGAGATCCGGAAGACGGAGGCGGTCAGCTGCCTCTGCGTCTCCCTCCACCTCTGGTCAACCTTCAGGACCCAGGCTGAACCTGCAGCCGGGTCCGAAGGTAAGCGTTCAACCTCCTGAGCGGTTTTCTGCTCGGAGTTGGGAGGAGCCTTCTTGCCAGTTAGCTGGTAGGGGGCTAGCTTCCCTTACAGGGGAAAGGGGGTCTAGGGCCCAGTCCCTGGGACCCCTCCCCTACATTCCTGCCGGGGCCGAGGGAGGGTTTGTGCCTCTAGAGCGGTTCTCTGCTCGAGGCACGGCCTCCTCCGCCGAGAGGCGTCGTGTCCCTTCGCTGGCAAGCGAGCAAGGGGCATCGTCCTCCCCCTTCGAGCCGGCTAGAAACAAAGGGGTCAGGTACCGGAACTGTGACCTGTGCCCGGATGTTGACCGCCACCCTAGGCGTCACGCCCTCGCCGTTCACCTCAATTTGTTGGTGAACGTGGAGGGCGGATGCCTGGCGTGTGGGGTGGGCGAGAACAACCGGGAGCAGTTGACGCAGCGACACCCTGACCATGAGGGCAGCCCCGATGATGGCTGGGACCAATGGGTCAGGGACCTTGTGCGGATGCTCTGTGCACAGGCCCATGACTGCGGGGTCCCAGACGTCCTGGGTCTTCTTGCCCTTATAGTGGAGGGTAGACATTACCCAGCGCGGGCTGTTGAGGCTCCTCGTCCCTTCTCCCCCAGAGAGACCTTGGTGGCGGAGGCCATCAATGACTTCCTGGGGGATGATGGGCAGCCTTCTTCATTGTTACAGACATTGTCATCCTAAATCAGAAAGATAAGTTAACATAACAATAAGAAAGATAATGTAATATAACAATGTTATCACTTCTTACTGACATTGTCATCCTGGATCAGAAAGATATTGTAATATAACAATGTTATCACTTCTTACTGACATTGTCATCCTAAATCAGAAAGATAATGTTATATAACAATGTTATCACTTCTTACTGACATTGTCATCCTGAATCAGAAAGATAATGTAATATAACAATGTTATCACTTCTTACTGACATTGTCATCCTGAATCAGAAAGATAATGTAATATAACAATGTTATCACTTCGTACTGACATTTTCATCCTGAATCAGAAAGATAATGTAATATAACAATGTTATCACTTCTTACTGACATTGTCATCCTGAATCAGAAAGATAGTGTAATATAACAATGTTATCACTTCGTACTGACATTTTCATCCTGAATCAGAAAGATAATGTAATATAACATTGTTATCACTTCTTACTGACATTGTCATCCTAAATCAGAAGATAAGTTAACATAACAATGTTATCACTTCTCACTGACATTGTCATCCTAAATCAGAAAGATAAGTTAACATAACAATGTTATCACTTCTTAATGACATTGTCATTCTAAATCAGAAAGATAAGTTAACATAACAATAAGAAAGATAATGTAATATAACAATGTTATCACTTCTTAATGACATTGTCATCCTAAATCAGAAAGATAAGGTAACATAACAATGTTATCACTTCTTACTGACATTGTCATCCTGGATCAGAAAGATATTGTAATATAACAATGTTATCACTTCTTACTGACATTGTCATCCTGAATCAGAAAGATAATGTAATATAACATTGTTATCACTTCTCACTGACATTGTCATCCTAAATCAGAAAGATAAGTTAACATAACAATGTTATCACTTCTTACTGATATTGTCATCCTAAATCAGAAAGATAATGTAACATAACAATGTTATCACTTCTTACTGACATTGTCATCCTAAATCAGAAAGATAATGTAATATAACAATGTTGTATCTTCTAACTGACATTGTCATCTTAAATGTGAAAAGAATGTTACATTACAACGTTATCTCTTCTTACTGACAAAGTCACTATATGAGATGGAGATTTGATTTTTGTTGTCTTTTCTGAAAGTTGTTAATTATTTTGTCACTATAAAAGGCGGAAGTCACGAAGTATGACATTTTGTAACTCCTCATTATAATGGAGGAATGTCAAATCAAACAAAAATTGACCTGGGCAATACGGCGCATATAGGAGGAAGGCCATGTTATTTAAAATGTAAGTTCTGCCGATCATAGCCACTGTGGTACGAAGGGGGTCATGTTATATAATTGTTATTTAATCTTATTAACACTATTATATGAAAGAAGTCATGTCATATACAAACTTAACTAAATGTTACTGATAGAGCCACTGCACGTTTACAGGAAATCGGAAAGAGAGAGGACTGGACCCAGCGGTGAATCACGTCACAACACATCGTCATGAAAACCACACACACATCAAAAACACAGCTGGATATGACGTCACAAGGAGAGGACTGTTCGATATCCCATACCTGAACAAAATACTTGGGAGATGCAGATATTTGAAATATTTACCATTTGTGCAAAATTATAGTTATGCACAAATTAATAACTCAGTTTAGCCATGTGTACTTTTAGTATTTATAGATTAGCAATCTGACCAAGGAGGGTGTTGATACTTAATGATTTTAGACATAATTGACATTTTCTACCAGATTCATCTATCAAACAGTTCTAGAAAGCAATCTATTATAACAGTAGTGGAATGTTTTAGTGGTTAAGGATCCCCATACCACTGACCAAAACTGCAAATATTAATTGGACATTTTGTACCGGCCTGTGTTTATAAGTTTATTATATGAAGTGTATAAATATAGATTCGTTTGATGCACTGCACATAGTGTTGGCTCGCTTGGTGGCATTGGGCCATGCGTGTGTCAAGTAATGTGAATGTTAAGTAAGGAATGGGAACCCGTATGTAAAGACAGCTTTAATAAATCACCTATGTTTGTCACACGTGTTGTTGTAACTTTGGGTTGAAATCTATACCTTGCAGTACTTTTTTATGGAAAATAATGAAGTTAAAATAATCATCAACAATAATGTTTTGAGATTAAAGTTACAACGTGTCTATATTGAGATTTGAACCCTAGACTTTCGATCGTATTGCAGTCGCTCTAACCAACCGATCTACATTATTAACTGTAGTCCCCTCGCTCAGTTATACTTCAGCTCCTACAAACTGACCTATATGATTAACTGTAATTACCTCGCTCAGTCACTCTACAGCCCTAAATAATCGATCTACATGATTAACTGTAGCCCCTCGCTCAGTCACACTACAGCTCTAACCAGCCGAGATTAATGGTTAACTTTAGTCTCCTCACTCAGTCACACCACAGCGCTAACCAACCAAGCTATATGATTAACTGTAGTTCTATCATTCCGTGTCACACTTCAACTCTTACCAACTGAGCTACATGCTTAACTGTAGTCCAATCAACCGAGTTACATGACTAACTGTAGTCCCATCGCTCAGTCATACTACAGCTCTAACCAAGACAAAACTGAGTGGAGTTAACTCTATAATGAAACCTACATCTCTTACCAGCACTGGTAAAGGACAAAAAAGGTTCACTACGCCTTGAAATGAAAAAAGACCATCCAGTGCTTGTCCAACATTCTCAATTTTATACACAGGGATGGAGAGCAAATGGTGATATTTCTTTAATTCTATCAAAATTTAATCCAGATAATCCATCTGTTGACGAGATAGCTGCAACTGAGAAGCATGTTTCAGGTAATGCTTGCAATGACAATCATCCAACTGGAGCACTAATTGATCTCTTTCATGACATTACCAATACAGCCGATCAGTCAACAGGGGCCACTTCAAAATAAGTTGTTACTAAACTATTGATGAATACAGTGAAGCGAGACGTTTTAGAGTGGAGGCTTCTTTGGAACTATCTTTCCTTCCCCTTTTCAGATGCAGCCATACCTTTCATTCTGTAACTCTATCAGCATCAACGAAATTGGAGAGAACTAGATCAACAGTAACAAAGCAACCACCACCTGATGAATATCTCCAGAGACCATATGAAGATGATAATTCTTGATACCAATTTATTTGCAAATCTGGGAAAATTCCTGTGATAACAGGCAATCACATTTGTGCATCTTGGCCTCTGACTGAATACTTCTCCGGGGCAATGATATTCCTCCATTGGCCAAACTGGCGATCTATTGATCAGCTCAGATCAAGAGCAGAACGTTGGAAGAAATTGATGGTGTCAGACAAGTGTCCTAATTTTGTAAAAAGTCAACATTGAGCGAGTCAAACGTCGCAGTGCCCTCCACGAAGACGTCCAATCAGATAAGGAAGACACATGAAGTCCAAAAGGAGTCTAAAGAACAACCTGGGTGGATGTAAATGTTGGCACCCAATCCTGAGTACAATGAAAATATGTCGGATTTCCAGTTTGATGACAGAGAGCCAGACTGTGATTGGAGTACGGAATCACTTCCCTATCTCTAAAACAAAAGGAAAACTTTCCTGAATCAATTGAATCACGTGGAAGTTGAAGAAACAGAAGATCAAACCCTCAGCCTTCCTGAAATTGATGTATCTTCAATGAACACAGAACAAAGGTTTGCCTTTAACCTTGTTATGGGTAGCCTTCTATGTTTAAAAGAATCCATAACGTTTGCATCCTTTCAGACTGATAGTGGCAGGAACTGTAGGTTCAGGCAAAAGCGTTCTCATTAAATGGTTAGTCAGAAGTATCGGACAGCTATTCAAGAGAAACAAAGCAGCACACGTCCTCTATCCAACTAGTAATAGTGCAAACCTTAGTTCAGGTGTAACTCTTCACAGCTTCCTACAAATACCAACAAATGCTCAGGCAACAAGGGAAATGTCTCCTCCACAATGAGACAAGCTTCAACAACTCCAGAAAAAGTGTGACGGGGTAGTTGCATCATTGGTCGATGAACAATATTTAATCGGATGCACAGCTCTGGGATGGATGGAGTACATGTGTAAGTATGCCATGTACAAAGGCCAAACCCCGTCACAAGCATGGGGAGGTCTACCAGTAGTAGTTGTCTTTGGTGGTGACGTACAGCTGCCTCCTGTTTGTATACTGCAAAAACACCACACCAGCAGCAATGCATGGACCCCGTATCTGGCAAGACTTTGATGTGACAAGGCAGTCACATTAAAAAATCAATTGTGCCTCAGGACAATCAACAAAAGCAGTTCAAAGATGTCCCGATGTCAATGAGGACATACTCAACTACAACACAACAAGCTGTTTGGCTGCAGAAATTCCAGTGGAAAGATTTGAAAAAGATCTAAAAATAAACTTTAATACAGCAAAGATATGGAAAATAATAGCAATTCAGGCTCACGTGGTTGCACAGCTGAATTAAGTAAGGGCAATTAACTATTCGTTTAATGTTTAATCTAAATGTAGTCAGTTAAACACATGTTAGGTGGATAGGAAGAGAAAACCATGGTAATGAAGTGATCTGCCCTGAACTGAATACTGAATCTACAGCAGGGAGTTGTACAACTACAGCTCATAGGAGCAGAGGGTCAGGTAGGTAACATCTAATACAAAAACTGACTTGTGATTTAAATTGTAAAATATAACTACAAAAATGTACATCCATTGATGTTAATGACCCGAGATCAATTCAAATAATTGCTATGTCAAATACATACGTTATTGGTCATTTTTAATTTCGCCAAGATGTTTTTTTCACTATTTCTTTTCGGACGGATCGTTATGTATTCTTTATTAACTTGTTCACCGTCATATTGTTATAATATATGGCAGTAAAGCATGTCTGACCCATATGACATACTCAGCCCTCGTATTTATAAAATGCTTCCCCATACTATGGATATGAGTTAATTTCCTTAATCAGTATTTAATTCAAAGGTATCATACAAAAGGTTCAGAAGGTCAAAATCTAACAAAGTATTTGTGAACACTGCATGTGTTGGTTCAGCAGAGATTTTCTGGGAAAGTATTTTTACCTGATTTGAGCTGGAGCATGGAAAAAGAGCTAGAGCACGATAAAAGCTTTGTGCGAAATACCCAGCCTGGTCCAGACTTTTAGGGGGGATGAATAGAGTAAAGCTCAGTAAAACATAAACGAAATATCGGTCCTTTCATTGCAGTAAATATTTGGAAATAAGGTAAACAACATATTTATATCTCACTAATTATAAAGGAACCTCAAATCTGTTAAAATAATGACAAAATAAGATGACGAAAGGGAGAGAAATAAAGCAACCTTATTTATCAGGGCCTCTTATCCTTTCAAACATTTTCTGATGTTATTGAGATTCCAAAGAATCCCCATTTGTTTCTAAAGTTTATGTTAACATCAACAGTGATTTTTGCAGACTAAAACCAAACGGTTCAAACATCATTTTTGTTCATGCCGGTATGAACGCAAATCGGTTACATTCCTATTTACCATGAAGTCCTGCCCTGGCAGGTTTCATGAATATGTAAGTTACCGGTTTGCTTTCATACCGGCATGGAATTGAAAAAAATGCCGTAATCACCCACCGTTACATCCCCTGTACAAACATGCTAAGTAAAGTGATTTTGCAATGATATTGGGGAAATGCTGATGAAAGAGGAAATGGCTATTACAAGGCCCCAAATTCGCCCAAAACACTTCTTCCCGATGTCTTTATATGTATGACATAAAAAATGTTCTTAAACAAATCTCTATACTACATGAAAAGATTCGGCCTATAGTGCATTGGAAATGATATTCAGTTTCTCTCGAAGTGAAGTTCCTTAATTCTCGTAATTGTTAAAAATATTGTATATTTCTTTTTAAGGAAATACAAAATGCTTTAGCTAGGGATGAACTTAAGTACATGCTTGATATTATAAAGATTATCATTAAATTAAAAATATTTTATATAATATAAAAACAAAATGATGTCTCCGCTGATCATGAGCGTCGAACGCCGATCGGGGACCGTCGGCACTTTCCGTAAACGAGAATTTTCTCGTTTACGGAAAGTGCCGACGGTTCTCGATTGACAACACTCGTCACATCTCGGCAGATTCCGTACCTAGATGAAGGGTACCGGAATCGGCCGAGGTTAGCCGAATGGATTAATAATACCCGTTTCCGCCCAGTCAAGCTGTGAGACAGCAGAGAGAAACGGGTCGACAAGGACCAAGCGCCTTATCTATTAGGCCTTAAGATTTATACAAACAATTGTGTCAATACATTCAACAGGTAAGCATTACATTTGTTTAACAATTTGAATACGGATTGTCAGCCAATATATATGGGTTTGATCAATTTTAATGACACACCGTAATGAAAGCCAGATTGTCAAAGCGCACTTGGTGAAACTAGATTTTGTGACTGCCTGTGAACAAAAAAATAAACACAAAAGACATTTTGATGTCCGAATGTCATAGTTACATGTACTGTTCTCACTTATATGATACAGGGATGTCACCTCCTTGTATGATATCATAATAAAAACTAGTGATGTTTCCACTAGATATTAACAAAACCGAAAACGAAAGTAGCCGTCCGTGGAATTTCCACTTTTCATTTTGAAATGACTCACTAAAATATATTTTTTATAATGACCAATAATATCACACAGACAAGGACATAATGTCCCCCTTGAAAATAAATCTGGATTTTTTTTTTAAACCTTTATCAGCTATTTAAAAGTAAAAAGCGTGTAACAGAAGAGCGGGGTCGGGTATAAATGAACCGGAAGCAGTTACGGAACATGATTATAAATCGCACGTTGGTGTGTTATGTGCATGTCACCACCCATCAGCATTCCTGAACTCTGAAAATATTGTCCAGTTGGCAATGTGGGTGAAAAAACACCCACTGTAAGCCTTGAGTTGTTGTCCTGGACATGTGTCTACTTCCGGGTTTCCTGGTTATTTCTAGCATATTTTGCATATATAGTTGTAGGCACGGACCGCTAAGCCAATGAGCGTCCATATAAAAGGAAACGTCACAACTTATGACAATGAATGCGCATTTAGAAAAAGAACACAAAAAGAACAATCATAATTTGTCAGTTTATAATCCATATTTACAGTAAGCATGACATTTATTTACCGTTGATGACATTTAAGAGGTGTTCGGCAGTTATTTTGTAATAATAAAAACTTGGTCAAAATTAGACTAGAGTCCAGATCGCTCCCTTTTAATTACTACCACCAGACTTGCTGAAGCACTGCCCATCATCATAGTGATTTACAAAACCAGGGACATGCCTTTACAGTCTAAACAATTTTGGTCATACCAATATTTATATGAATAATACCCAGTTTTTAACACATTTAAGATGGCTTATCTTTTATTATTGAATTATGGAATGAAAGATTATTATAAACATCAACTAAATTACACTTGGGAATAAGGGGTTACACTACCACCGTTGGTACAGCCATGGGAGTATCTGAAAAGTTTATTTAAGATATGTTAGATTCAATTTAAAGACCTTTGATGAATATTTTATAAGAAATAAAAGAAGTGTTCAGTAATACCCTCCATGGTGTTCATTAATTGCCCGACTGGTTCAGTAATTACCTCCACGTACAGTAATACAGCATGCCTTATAGTTAAGATAATGTTACAGACACACCATAGTGCGTAAAACACACTTATTTTTAGGGCTTGGCAAGAAGATGCAGGGTGCCCTATAGTAAATCAGGTTGTCCGTCTGTCTGTCCAGTGGGTTTTTTTTTGCACAATATTGGTGGAAGTAAGCGGAGTATGTTTTTAAAACTGTACATGATGATTTCCCATGCATCCTAGTTCTGCTTGGTAACTTTTCAGGCAGATAAGATTAAAAACGGCTGCTAATCAGCCATCTTGGATTTTAACACTACAAAATTTCATTTTTTTTGCTCTTAACTGGTAAACATTTTGTTATGACATTAAAAAGAGTCAGTTGACCAAAGGTCAAGGTCACTGGGTCAAAGGTGAAGTTTACATTTCTTTTTGACACTTTGAAGCAATGTTGGTCAGAATTAAACGAGGAGTCAATTGACCAAAGATCAAGGTCGTTGGGTCAAAGGTCAAGGTCAAATTTAGTATCCTTTCACTGATGAACATTTTGTTACGACATTATGAAGCAAAGTTGGTCGGAATTTAACACGGTAACTTGGTAACGAGTATGGGTCTCGCTGGCTATAAAACGTGCATTACCTGTCAAACCGGTTATCATTCTACAACTGACTGTCTTCAATGCACCACGCACCCTGATTGGCAACCGATATTAAAAAAAATCAAACGCACTCACATGAAGACTTTAAAAACACGGCCAAGCTGTTTGTTACTTATGGCACATTCTCCAAAATTGTGTATCCAAAATAAAAGGCATCTTACTGAAAAATCTTCTATCAATCCCATATATATCATCAGTCTTTCACATGCATAGAACTGCACCAATACACAAATCTTTATTATGAAATCGTAGTCTTCGTGCATTATATTTCAATTGGTCATAATTTACTTCTATTTCTACTTTTCTTAGATAAATGCTTACTTTGATGTGTTCCATTTTAATTTTATTCAACTGATCTGATACAAAATGTCGTAAAAAAATTGTGAAAGTGTCATATATAGTATATAGCAGTGTCACCTTGCGCACACGTTGAACAAATGATGAGCGGTGCGACGGGTAATGCACTTTTTATACCCAGTGAGACCCATACTCATTACCAATTAAGGACCAAACTAAAATGTCGGCACGTCCTTAGAAATGATAGTTAGAAGAGACGGGTGGGGGATGAAGGGGGAGGGCATGTGTACTTCTAGTATACAGTGGTAATCTGACGGCTGTAACGAATGTAAAAAGACTTCCGTGTCACAGTTCCCATACTTGCCAACCTTCCGCACATTTAATGTTTGTGTAACCTTTTGACATTTTATTAGGTCACCTGAGCTTTGCTCAAGTGACCTGTTCTAATCGCTTTTCGTCCGTCGTCGTGCGTCGTGCATAAACTTTTACATTTTCAACTTCTTCTCAAGAACCAGTGGATGGATTTTTTTCAAACTTGGTCAGAATCATCCTTGGTAGATGAGGCTTCAAAATTGTAAAATTGGGATTCCTACCCCAACCGCTGGGGCCAGGGCGGGGCCCGAAAGAGAAAATTAACCAATATTTCAAAAATCTTGTTCTTCAGACTCAGAGGTACTACACTGATTTTCTCAACGTGGAAAGAAAGATCATCAGGGGCTTTACTTAAATTGTAAATTTCAGGACCCCCGAGCTATCCATTCTCCCTTGGGGAGGGGGTAAAGTTTACTATAGTTTATATAGGGAAATAACACTTTTGGGTATATTTTGACAACTTTCGGTAGGAAATTATTTTTACTTGGTGAGAATTATCCTTGGAGGTAGATGGTTTCAAATTGTAAAATTGAGATTCCTACCCCAACCCCTTGGGCCAGGGCGGGGCCCCAAAAGGAAAATTAACCAATATTTCCAAATTTTTCACTGCCCGACTCAGAGGAACTACATTCATTTTCTCTGCATGGAAAGAAAAACATCAGAGGCTTTATTTAAATTGTGAATTTCAGGACCCCCGAGCTATCCGTTCTCCCTAAGGGAGGGGGTAAAGTTTACTATAGTTTATATAGGGAAATAACACTTTTGGGTATATTTTGACAACTTTCGGTAGGAAATTATTTTTACTTGGTGAGAATTATCCTTGGAGGAAGATGGTTTCAAATTGTAAAATTGAGATTCCTACCCCAACCCCTTGGGCCAGGGCGGGGCCCCAAAGGGAAAATTAACCAATATTTCCAAATTTTTCACTTCCCGACTCAGAGGAACTACATTCATTTTCTCTGCATGGAAAGAAAAACATCAGGGGCTTTATTTAAATTGTGAATTTCAGGACCCCCGAGCTAACCGTTCCCCCTTAGAGAGGGGGTAAAGTTTAATATAGTTTATATAGGGAAATAACACTTTTCGGTATACATTTTATCCATTTTCAGCAGAAAATTACTCAAACTTAATCAGAATCATCTTGGGTGAATGAGAGTATTACTTTGTAAAATTGGGATTCCTGCCCCATCCCCAGGGGCTAGGGCGGGGCCCCAAAGGGGACATTTACCAATATTTTCAAATTCTTATCCATTGATGACATGACAAGTATTGTATTTCACTTAGTTAACATGCTGATTTCCACTTCACATCTAAACAATAAAATAAAGCTACCAGTACCTATGATATAACTCAGGTGACCGCTAAGGCCCTTGGGCCTCTTGTTTACTTTATAGAAAGTTTGATGTACCATGTCAATCCGGGTAATCTTGGACACTATTCACAATGTCCAGTCCAGCTTCACCCTTTCGCTGCCACAGTGAAAACCCTGATTTTCTGTCAGGCCAAGTTTTCAGCATGGCTTTCAAATGTCCTATTTTAATGACGTTGTACTGTGCATGTGTCAACAATTCATGTGTAGACCAAATTTCATTTTCTCAGGAAACCTATTGGAAAAATAAATACAATTTCTACTTCATAGTCATAAGATCATATAAAACTATTCTGGTAACCTTCAACCACATGTTGTACCTCTATTGAAAGCAGAAATCATTATATATAACTTCATATATATAGGATCTTAAATGGGTTAATTAAAACTTCGTGACGAGTTTCATAAAAGCTAATTATCAAGAACAGAAGTCTTGAATTTCAAAGACATATTTTCAATATTGTTGCATGTGCACATAGAACTGGTGAGTCCTTTTCTCTGTTCTCAAATTTGGCCTGGACTGAAGTTGATCCCAGGACGTGTTAGTGGTGGCGGGAAATTTGCATGAAATGTCCGTGCAGTGAGGTCACCTGTCAATTGGTCAATCGTCCGGTGTCCAATCAAGTACACAAAAAAAAGCGGACACGCCCACAGACATTTATGAAAGGGGCCATAGACAAGATATACAGCACAGTATATTATTTAACAAATACATGTACCCATATACTTGGTGTATAACACTGAGGCTACAAAACTTTTGGAAATTTCTATACAATTAGCTTTGATCAAAAGTCATGACATGATGCAATTACGGAGGATCTGACAATGTGTTCTAGGATCAGAAAGAAAGAAAAATATTTAGAAGGGAAAGATAAAAATAAAGAAGATTTCATGTCATAGTGGTAGCCAAGATATCCCTCTGGTATCTCTTTTTTTTTGTTTCATTAAATAGTGAACCATGTCAAAGGGCCCTGGTAAAGGAAGGAAAGGGAAGGGACCGGCTCGGAGACATCCTTCCCCTGTCCAGTCTGCATCAGAAGGTAATGTATTAGAGATTTTCAACATGTGTACTAAATTCTGTATGATGAATGTCACAGGGTTCAAACTTGATGAAAATTTGTTTTATATGCAATACCAGAAGTAGTGAAATGCAATATATTGACATTGTTCAATTTTATTTTGTATATTAGGTGAGGAATATATATATAAAATATAAAAGGCAAATTTCACAATATCCTCAATATAAATCTACTACACATATAAACTACTGTAACGGATGCGTGCCTACAGTTCGTTACCAAGTTCTTTCTTGGACCCAGTAATTGTTGTAACAAACAAGTGCCGACAATATATACAAAATAACGGCCGTCTTTCTGACTCAAATAACTATTACCTAATCTACACCCGGTAGATATTTTACATTAATATACCTCTAACACTAATATAGTCAAAAAGCCAACTAAAACAACTGTATCACAATATATCCGTCACCCTGTATCAACAGTAAATAGCCCCTTACTGCGACACCCGTGACTGTGTACACCCTTTACCGCGACACACCTTGACCACGTCACCCTTTACCGCGACTGCCGTTTGACCAAGTCACCCTATAGCTAGCCACTATAAAACCTATGCCTTGGTAAACCCTGTGTCTTGGTACCTGACACCCTGTATCAACAGTACGTCGCCCTGTACTGTGATACCCTGTGACTATGCACACTATACTGTAACACAATTTATTTTGACCATGTACTATAAAGGAATACAGTGGAACCCTAGCTTATGCAGCTAGGCCCAAACTTATACAGCTTGGTCACTGATTACCTTTTTAGAGTTGTTCCTTCTTCTTCGACCGCCAGAGCAAGAGA